AGCTAACTCATCAGACCGTTTGGAAAGTAGTCTGTTATCTTTGGGAGTGAGAAGGTTCCTGGCCACCACCGCAGCGGTCATATCATTCTTCATCACGGAATCCCCAACGGTAAGAGGACCAGTTGGGGAGACGAAGGATGGGCGCCATATGTTGTCTGGAGAAGGCGGGGCTGCCTCTTCAACAAGGTTCAAGTCAAAACGACGGTCGGAGGGGCCAGACATTTTCAAAGGTGTTGAAGAGAGAAGAGGTCGGACAAATCAAGATCTTAGAAGTGCAAGAATGAAGCTTCTACTGGTGGAGATTCAAGTGTGCTTTGGAACTTAATGCCAGCCCCTATAAAAATCTGCACTCGACGGAGCTTCAGAAATCAAAGAGGCGCCTGCTCAGAAAATCGAAGAGGCGTTTGCTTTCTCAAAAGTTGGGCTGCTTAGAGATCACGAGGGTTGATCTCAGAAATCGAAGAGCCGTTTGCTTTCTCAAAAGTTGGGCTGCTCAAAGACCACGAAGGCCGATCTCAGAAATCGAAGAGGCGCTCGCTTTCTCAAAAGCTGGGCTCCCTAGAGACCACGAGGGCCGATCTCAGAAATCGAAGAGGCACCTACTTTTCCAGCCTTGTCAGCACCTGTCACACGCACACTCAGCTTTGCGGAAATTATGGGCATTCTGTCAAAGACTTCTGGGGAAGTAGAAAACACATGAATCTTACTGTTCAATCACCCACTTCCCACACGCAACAATAGCTCATGGGTACCACAGATAACTTTGCCAAAGTTCTCTGCCAAAGTTGAGCACGTGAAGCTTGCAGCTCCCACTACATCGCTCTGACCAAGAAGGGTAAAAGAATAGCAAAGAAACAGCACTAACAAAGTTTAGACCCATAAATTTTGAAGGTCTAGCTACCATATTATTACCCACAAGGGTAAAGGAACAGTACCACTGCTGGATAATTGGAAAGTCCATGTATGTCAACCTCTGTGCTTCGTGGCAAGGTAGACTAGCAAACATGCCCAACCTTTACTCACATTCGAGAAAACACTCCCAATAAGATTGCTTGCTCCAAAATCGAAGAGGCACCGTCCTCCGAATCTAAAGAGCCAGACTCCCAACATGACTACTTTCTTAAAAATCGAAGAGAGGGTAAAGGAACAGTACCATTGCTGGATAATTGGAAAGTCCCTGTGTGTCAACCTCTGTGCTTCGTGGCAAGGTAGACTAGCAAACATGCCCAACCTTTACTCACATTCGAGAAAACACTCCCAACAAGATTGCTTGCTCCAAAATCGAAGAGGCATCGCCCTCCGAATCTCGAGAGCCACTCTCCCAACATGATTACTTTCTCAAAAATCGAAGAGACACTGCTCCCCGAATCTCGAGAGCCAGACCCCCAGCATGATTGCTTTCTCAAAAATCGGTGAGGCACCGTTCTCCGAATCAATCGAAGAGGCGCTCGCTTTCTCAAAAGCTGGGCTGCTCAGAGACCACGAGGGCCGATCTCAGAAATCAAAGAGGCACCTACTTTTCTAGCCTTGTCAGCATCTGTCACACGCACACACTCAGCTTTGCAGAAATTATGGGCATTCTGTCGAAGACTTCTGGTGAAGTAGAAAGCACATGAATCTTACTGTTCAATCACCCACTTCCCACACGCAACAATAACTCATGGGTACCACAGATCACTTTGCCAAAGTTCTCTGCCAAAGTTGAGCACGTGAAGCTTGCAGCTCCCACTACATCGCTCTGACCAAGAAAGGTAAAAGAATAGCAAAGAAACAGCACTAACAAAGTTTAGACACATAAATTTTGAAGGTCTAGCTACCATATTATTACCCACAAGGGTAAAGGAACAGTACCACTGCTGGATAATTGGAAAGTCCCTGTGTGTCAACCTCTGTGCTTCGTGGCAAGGTAGACTAGCAAACATGCCCAACCTTTACTCACATTCGAGAAAACAGTCCCAACAAGATTGCTTGCTCCAAAATAGAAGAGGCACCGTCCTCCGAATCTCGAGAGCCAGACTCCCAACATGACTACTTTCTCAAAATCGAAGAGAGGGTAAAGGAACAGTACCATTGCTGGATAATTGGAAAGTCCCTATGTGTCAACCTTTGTGCTTCGTGGCAAGGTAGACTAGCAAACATGTCCAACCTTTACTCACATTCGAGACAACACTCCAACAAGATTGCTTGCCCCAAAATCGAAGAGGCACCGCCCTCCCGAATCTCGAGAGCCAGACTCCCAACATGATTACTTCCTCAAAAATCGAAGAGACACTGCTCTCCCGAATCTCGAGAGTCAGACCCCCAGCATGATTGCTTTCTCAAAAATCGAAGAGGCATCGTTCTCCGAATCTCGAGAGCCAGATACCACAGACCACTTTTTCAAAGTGCTCTGACAGAGTTAAAACATGTGAAACTGGCAGCTCCCACTACCGTGCTATGACCAAGCAGGGTAAAGGAATAGCATTACTACTTGTTAGGGAGACTCCTATATATGTCGACCTCCATCCCCAACGGACAGGCAGACCTGCAAAAATGCTCAACCCTTCATCATATCTGAGAGGGCACTCCCAACAAAGCCTTTCGAAATATTCAGCTTTCTTTCCCCCCGATAATACCTCTGCAAAACAAGCTATACTAGAGCAAGAATATCTCATATCATCAGGGTTAAAAGCAAGAGTATCCCATATCATGCTTTTTCCCTGTTTTTTCCTTTGGCCTTGTTTTTACCTGCAAGACAAGGAGAAAGAGAGCAATCAGTCAGCACTTGGAATCAAGCTTCCAGCCAGGAACTGACTGCCTGGAACCCCTTACCTGATTACTTACCTGGCATTGCTCTCGAGTACTCATCTTCAACATCTTATGTTTCCAGGGAAGATTCCGCATCTGCTTGAGGAACAGATAGGGCAAGTGCGAAGGATACAAGGAAGCATGTGGAGACAAGCGTAACAGCACACGTGCCGATACATCCATTTCTCTGTCAAAAGCAAAAGTATCCCATATCAGCAGGGTGGAACGTACTCTAGATTTGATGGACTTGTTTTGACCCTCAAATTCTTCAGTCGGCCTTATACTCTGGAGGAAACCAGAAAACCCTCCAACTCAGTTCAAGAATAAGCCTGTGGAAAGTTACTTCTTCAAAAGCAAAAGTATCTCATATCATCTCTTCTCATTTTTCTTCTCTTTATCCTTCATGCTGCTGCAAGATGGGGAGAAGGTGAACAATCAGTCGGAGCTCTGATTGCTTACCTTGTCTGTCACCTCTTTCAGCAGACCCCTAGCTCGGCGACTTGGGGGACTCCTACTACATGGTTTGTATCGCGCTTGACCAAGCCTGAAACTACAAGTAAGCTTCAAGTGAAATTGATACATTACCTTGTGCATCTCCACCAGTTAAAGATACCACCCTTGGATGGAGGAAGAGTACTTCCAGAGAAGATGCCACATCTACCTATGAGACAGATAAGGCAAGTCAAGACGACACCACACTCCGATACTTAGAAGTTTCGTGATTACGAGATCATTCTCCCACAATATTTCCTAATGTCATTTGTACTAAATCATTCACTCGTACTCACTAAAGGAGAGCTTGAACCTATGTACTTGTGTAAACCCTTCACAATTAATGAGAACTCTTCTATTCCGTGGACGTAGCCAATCTGGGTGAACCACGTACATCTTGTGTTTGCTTTCCTATCTCTATCCATTTATATACTTATCCACACTAATGATCGGAGCAATCTAGCGAAGATCACAAAAAGCGACCGTTTTCGTTACCTATGATCTATCTTGCAAGAGAACGGAGAATTAGATGGAGATCTCAACCATAGAATACGAGCTGGATGGAAAGAGTGCATCCGGCGTGTTGTGTGACCGTCGTAGGCCACTGAAGCTCAAGGGAAAAATTTTATAGGACGGCAATAAGGCCAGCGATGTTGTATGGCAGAGAATGTTGGGTGGTGAAGCATCAACACGTACACAAAATGGGTGTAGCGGAGATGAGGATGCTTCGTGGGATGTGTGGGCACACGAGAAAGGATAAGATTGGGAATGAGGATATCCGAGGTACAGTAGGAGTAGCCGAAATTGTAGGAAAGATGAGAGAAAATCGGCTCTGGTGATTTGGACATGTGCAAAGAAGGCCGACTGACGCTCCGGTTCGAAGATGTGACTACGGGACAGAGGTTCAGGGCCGAAGGGGTAGAGGAAGACCTAGGAAAACTTTGGAAGAGACTCTAAGAAAAGACTTAGAGTACTTGGATCTAACGGAGGACATGACACAAAACCGAGCGCAATGGCGTTCTAGGATTCATATAGCCGACCCCACTTAGTGGGAAAAGGCTTTGTTGTTGTTGTTGTTGTTGTTGTTGATACAGATAATGTAAATCGGCATCCTCACAAAATTGTTGTTTTTTCCATTATGATGAGTACTTAACTCTGTTGGGATTACAGGATAGTAGGATCAACTACGAGGAGTTCTCCACAATGATGAGAAGTGGAATGCAACCACAGGCCAAGCTGTTCTAGAGTTTCCGTTAACATTTCTCTGACTACTGCAAGCCATATGTTCCAGTTCTACACTATGTATAAATTGAGGTGGACAGTCGCACGAGTGGTACTTCATGCTTGCTGCCAATTGCGTTCCGGAGTTGTTGAAGCTTTTTTTTTTTTTTTTTTTTTGGTTGAACAAATATGTCAATATGTTTTAGGAAATCAATGAAGAGCAAGCTAATTAATTTAGCTCTCGTGTTTGGCTTTGTTTATTTTTTTCAATTCATAAATGAAGAGAAATGATTTTTATTCGTCTTTTTCACCTCTGCACGCTCGTTCTGTTACTGTTTCTTCTGAATTAAACAAATTTATAAAAAAAACCCAATATTAATCCATATGTCAAGATAATTTGCACTACCAGGTCTCTCTCGTCATGCAATGAGCTAGCCTAGCTAGTCTCATTCTTTGTGGAATCCTCCACCAAATTGATAGTAAATGAAAAACGATTAGGGTTGATTAACAATGAAATCCCATAAAATTGAACTGAAATCCTCATCAACCAACAAACAAGGAAGCAAATTAACAAAGACCAGCATCATGCATCAAATGTCTATAAATTCCACAAAATATAGACAATTCTGTTATTACAACCCCAGCAAATTAACAAGCCAGGAGGTTCCAGGAGGTTCCAGGAGGAGCTCGTCGCAAACTTAATACAACAGTAACAAACTCGAGCACGACTCCAAGTCCTCAGAAACCATGAATCTTGATCTGATCCTTCTTAACAATCTTGGCCTGAACGAGAAACTGCAGCACGTTCTTGCGTTGATCGCCTTGGAGCTGAATTATCTTGCCTAGCTCTTTGTCCTGAACCACATTGCCGTTGCAGCAGAACTCCTTTTTGAGGTCCTTGAGGATCTTGCCGTAGCTGAAGTCTTTCTTCAGCCCTTGAACTGTCGTCAGGCACTTCTTTCCATTTCTCTGCTGCACCCTGATATGCACATACTCCTTGGCTCCGGGGGCATCCGCGTCTTTGGCTTCGGAGAAGGGGTCAAAAGCTGTTGGGATCTGAACGTCTAATTCAACCATAAATGTACTTTGCTTTGCTCGAGAATTCTGCAACAAATTCAACTGCACACATCAAAAAAGCATTGTTAGTCCTCCACAAATATTGCTTCAATACCAACAATCATCCAACTTATTCGTACCATGAACACATGAAATTCAATTTATAAAACCATGAATAGATACATATATGCCATTAATTATAAGATGGATTTTCTTTATTTCTTAAATTTATGAAACGGCGCAACTTCCCAAATCGAACATTCTTGGCCAAAGGAGGTGTACACACACCCTTCTTCCAATACACTTTGTAGAAGAAAAAGGATTTCATTTTCATAGTAACACTTCAAAATAGTCATACGATAAACCTTCCTAGAAATAAAAGCGTCATGATTTTTTTTGAGCCGCCCATATCAACTCACAACGAAACAATACATGGGCTTTGTTTAAAGGGAGTTTTAACGAAAAGTCCATGGTACTGTTCACTTTAACGAAAAACCACATTTTTAACTAAAAATCCTCCAAAAACCAAACTACTGGGCATAAAAACACTTAGTTTCTCCTTTTTGTCTCTAAGAGTAAATTCTCTTCTGATCCACAGAAGCATCAATATACACAAGGACATGAAGAACATAGTTCAATTTGTTCATGCATGAACTTAATAACATTTGTTGCAAATCAATGATCGATGTCCTAATACTTTCTCTACCAAAAACCAAAAAGTAACAAAACCCATATGACACAGAGGCATCAATAAACACAAAGAATATATATATATATATAGCATGATATATGATAAGAAAAAACCCCATTAATTTAACTATAAATATAAAGAAAAGAAAGAAAATAATTAATTGAGATGATGGATCGTACCAGAATAATAGAAAGCCGGGAAGGGTAAGGTTTTTTTCTTTTTCTTTTTTTAGCTGGGAAACCTTACCCGACGTATAAGTTTTGGAGGAGACAAGGATGAAGAAACTTGGAGAGACTTCCGGACTTTATATAACCACCAATTCAACAAATCATGGCTAACCTGAGGTGGGTCCAAGAAAAAATAAAACCTGACAACTGGACGGACGAGATCGAGTGTCTGGTAGTGTGAACGGTGAGATCAAGCTGGCGTGCCGGATTAATGGATAATATCTATTTTTTAAATAGTTAATATTTCCAGGGGACACGTACAATGAACGCACCCCAGACTGGCAAAAATTCATGCAAATGCTAGGAAAGCAACTTTATATGTAATGATATATTGTTATCGTTCCGTTTCGGTCTAATAATATATTCTTATTTAGATTCATTCGATAAGAAATTGTCGTTTGAGATCATTGTTAATGTGGAGGTCTAATAATATATTGTCATTTAAAGATGAAAATATCACGTGAATGTTTTATATAAGTTCTTAATAAAAAACGAAAGAAATTCGGTAAGAAGAAAGAAAGGTCAAGAGATTGTGGGACCACAACGAAGAATCCAGAATCAAATAATCGAGAACATTTGAGTGGACATAAAGAAAGGAAAGAATCCAATTGGCATATTAAGATACGTAAGAGTTTATGTCATGCTTGCCAACGAATCAATGTTACTATTGGTGGTGGTACCCTACAAGAAAAGACTCCTTAAGTCGGGCGTATTTTGCCTAATTGGATTCATGTGTATAATCTTGGAATGTTGTTCCTTAAAACTCAAGAGAAATTTAGCACCATCCAAATAGCATGAATCAAATTAGGAGGATCTTTCTGCACCACAAAATATAAAAATATACAAACTCTATTATGAAATGGGGTTATTTAAAGATAGGGCATTAAGTAGAATAAACTCTCGTAACTGGTCGAGTTATAACTTTTTGTAGAAATCTTCATTCTAGTATGTGAAAGCTTGCACGAAATAAGAGTTTTTATGTACAATATACATATCTAGAAAGATTTACCATGATAATACGTAATTTGGGGAACATCTATTGATAGTTGTGGTAACCAAATTTCACTTGCTTTAGAGGGGTGTCACGTGTACCAAAGCAAACCTAGTTGACGGAATTACCCTAAGGGTTTCATCAACACTTAACCTCTGCACTGGTTGAGCATTAAATACACGAAGAGATGTATCTATGTAAGGGCTGGTTTGGTATTGCTGTGTTTTAAAAAAAAAACTGCTGTGAGAATAAGCGGCGGTGCTGTGAGAATAAGCAACTGTGAAATAAATCAGCAGAGTGTTTGGTAAACTTTTTTGTAAAAGTGCTTTTGGAAAAAAAAAAAAGCAGTTTGATAATGGGTCTTTTCATTAAAGGAGCACTGTAGCTCCGTGTGCTTTGAAAAAAAGCCAGTTTTCCAAAGCTGCAAATAGCTGCTTCAGCTTTTTCCTTTGATTTCAGCTTATTCTCACAGCAGCTTCCAAAATAAGCCTTTTTTTTTTAGTTTACCAAACACCTAAAACCCTCACAGCTTTTTTTCATGGGTGTTTTTTTTTTAAGCACCTCACTCCCAAACCACCCCTAAATCACGCTCAACAGAGGTGTGCCATCATGTGCACCATGCTTCACGTGATGGAATATGTAAAGCAGTACGCTAGGCCACCCCACTCAACAAAGTTGGAAGGCTTTGCGGGCCAAGTAAGGCCTAAGGAGTAGACCTGTCAGTTTCTGACACGACACGGTGACACAACATGAAAACAACACGAAAATAACAGATTTCGGGTCAACACGATAACTAATCGGGTCATTATTGGGTGACCCGTTAAGGTATACACGCGGGTAACATTATTTTGACAATTTTAAAGTTTAATTACTAAAAGATTTATTATAAAATACAATAGCCATATTAATATATATAATATATTCTATATTAAATATAGTTTTGTATTATTATTCCATACAAGTTTTTTTTAATAGTCATTATTTTTTTTTATTATGAGAGTTCCTTATTATCATTACTAGGATAAATTTTACTTAACATGTTATTGTCCAAAATTAAAATAAACTAGTATAGTGTTTGCATAGGCAAGAACTAAGAAGACATACATACAAGTATGAAAAATGTGAAAGAATATATAAACACTCGTGATTCATCATTATTTCTCCACTAGTAGATAATGGTTACACTTACATTATCATTTAGATTTTTAAAATCATCAAAACCCTCATGAATAATGTTTTTTATTTGAGGGAAAAATTAATAAAATTAATAATAATTATTGTAGAAGTGTAAAAAAATGTAAAAAAAATATACAATCACTCATAGTGACAAGCTTTACAACTTTCATGAAGGGGTAAACTTCAAAATCCAACACTATAATCCATAAACCTTAAATTTATATTTAATCGTCGATTGTCATTTATGCTTTGTTCTTCTTACTGAATTTCATTTTTAAAATTTTCTTTTTTGAAAACATGATCATCTGGCGGATGTAATAAGATGAACGGTTCAGATCTTTGATATCACATCCCTCAACCCCATACGAACTTTGGAATGATGTAAAACCTAATCTGGGTATTTTGCGTCCTTGGGGTTGTACTGGATTTGTTCATAATCAATCACATAAGTTTGGAAAGTTGGGTCCTAGAGCAAATAAACATATCTTTATAAGATATTGTGAAAACTTGAAAGTTTATGTGATGTATGGTGAACATCCAGATGGAGGGAGAACCGAGATTGATTCATGTGATGTGGAATTCATAAAGAATGACTTCCCAAAACTTGGCAATACTGTAAAAAACCTTGATCTCCATGAATTGGAGAAAGATGAAGAACTCGTAACATCTTCAAGAGAATGTGGGGAATTCATTTCCAATCCGATGGTCGCTGAATATGATGTAGGAGGGCTTGATCCGAATGGGAGTAATATATCCATAAACACTCAAGAGAATACGCCTAATGATGGGAGCGTACCCTCTGAAATTCAAGGTCACACAGTTCAAAGAAGCAAGATAGGCCACATTCCCAAACGTCATTTTGAGGTTGATGAGGAGGCCTACATTTGCATACCTTCAGAGGAAGATGAAACTTATTCTTACAAAGAAACATTGTCTTCAATAGCCAAAGAAAAGTGGATAACTGCAATGGAGGAAAAGATGATCTCTATGGACAAAAATATTGTTTGAGAGTTAGTTGACCTTCCGCCTAGGCGTAAAACCATTGGAAACAAGTGGGTTTTAAAAATCAAACGCAAGGCAGATGGTTCAATTGACAAATATAATGCATGCCTTATGGCGAAAAGATACATTCAGCAATTGGGTGTAGACTATGAAGAGACATTCTCCCCTATGGTGAGGTTTGCCTCTATTCCCCTCATTTTAGCTATTGTTGCTCAACTAGATTTGGAACTTTACCAAATGGATGTTAAGATAGCATTTCTCAATGGAGAACTAGACGAGAAAATATACATGGATCAACCTCTAGGCTTCAAGGCCAAGGGACAAGAGTGCAAAGTTTGCCGCCTAAAAGGTTCTATATATGGCCTCAAGCAAGCGTCTAGACAGTGGAACATCATATTCCATAATTTAATCACTTCATTTGGTTTTGAGATGATCGAGGAAGAACACTATGTGTATCTTAAGAAATATGGGAAAAGTATTCTCATACTTTCTTTGTATGTTGATGACATCCTAATAGCAGGAAATGACAAAACCTCCATAGAAATCACGAAAACGTGATTGTCATCCCATTTTGAGATGACAATATGGGTGAAGCACATTATGTGCTTAGAGTTAAGATCACGAGAGATCGCTCAAGGAAACTTCTAAGTTTGTCTCAAGAGACTTACATTAAGAAGGTACTTGAACGATTTAAGATGGAGAACTCCAAACCCATAGACACTCCTATGGAAAGAGGCACGATATTGTCCTTAGAACAGTGCCCAAAGACTAAGAAAGAGAAAGAACAAATGGCAAACGTCTTCTATGCCTCTGCAGTAGGAAGTCTGATGTACGCAATGCTTTGCACACATCCGGACATTTGCCATGTCGTGGACATGATAAGCTGTTATCAAAGTAATCCTGGACAAGCTCATTGGCAAGCCGTCAAAAGGATTATGAGATACCTGCAAGGAACAAAAGATTTAGCCCTATGTTACCATGGAGGGGATCTGAAGTTGAGAGGATATAGTGATGTAGAATGGGCAAGCGATAGAGATGAACAAAAGTCCACCTAAGGTTATGCTTGTGTCCTTGGAGGTGGAATTGTTTCTTAGTGTAGCAAGAAACAAACTTGTATTGCTCTGTCCACAATGGAGTCAGAATATGTTGCCCTTGGATCAACTGTTCAAGAAGCTATTTGGCTAAGGATGTTTCTACGACAGATGGAAGTTACAGCTTATGCTTAAGAAGCTGTACTTGTCTATTGTGATAGTACTTCGGCCTTAGCATACACTAAAGATCCTAAGTATCATGGCAAATCTAAGCACATTGATACACAATATCATTTCTTTAGGAACAAGGTTATCAAGGGTGAAGTAGTGTTGAAACATATCTCAACCAGCAATATGATCATTGATCCCATGACTAAACCCATAATTATAAACTCGTTTCTGACTCATGTAAAGAATATGGGTTTATGTAGGGTTTGATGTGTTTTTCTTTGTATTTGACATTATTATTGAATAAAAAGGCATTGAAGTTTTTCATTTCATATATATTTATTTTTGAAATGATTGTTTACACATCTTTACGAGTGTCACCAAGCTAGAATCCGTTTTTCACACGAATGATTTACCATGGCGCTGAGATAGCAAGTAAGATGAGACATTTGTGTCCTCAACGCATTGGGCTGCGAGACTGGACACATGTATGTTGAACATACCAATATGCATAAGGTAAACGTCGCCTTAGAAATGTCTAAGATGAGACTTAACAGAAGTCAAACATGATATTTGTTTCATGTTGAAGCTTGTAAAGCTGGATATGAGTATCTAGGTGGGCGCCGAGAAGGCGACTAGGCTAGAAGACTCAGGTTAGGCGCTTGTGTAGAGACTAGACTAAGATCCGTATGGTGTATGTCCAATGGACATGTGACACACTCATTGAAATTAGG